TAACTGCAAGTACTGAAAATATTTTTGAGTTCTCCTATACTTGCAGTCATGTTACTCCTGTCTATGTGGTTGGCACCAAACAATATGGTACCTGCTATATTGTATGCGTTCAGTAGTTGACTGCTGAAAGACAGTAAGTTTGAACAGATTTTATATGATTACAAATATATCTTAAAAATCCAGAAGATAACCTAAAAGGCAATTATTTTTATTGCCTAAATAAATAAAGAGGAAATCTAGTCAGATAGGTCTTATATATCAGAACATCTGAGAAAAAATAAGAAATGGACATTCTGGTCGTTGGCTGAAGAAGGTTGAAGGGAAATAAGTAACACTATCTTTTTAATAGGTACTTGGCTTTAATGACTATCTCTCTTAAACTATCAACTCTGTCATTACAAAGAAAGCCATCTGTTTAAAATAACTAATACTGTAATGTTTAACTCCCATAATTAAAATGCAATAGTAACTTTCTACTGCATGTGAATTACAATCCAAAGTGCTTGACATCAACCTCTTTTCCTAGACATCCTATGAACTAATCCCTGTTCATTTCTCTATTCCTTCCTTCTCTCTATCTGTTCTCCACTACTGAGCAGCACTATCTATTATAAACTTCATCTTCCTTAAATCTATTCAGTTCGTGTTTTAAGGTTTCCAATTTTGCCTTACACTTAGCCCCAAATGGTACTATCCTAGAGCTATTTCTGCACTTTATTTTCACATCTTCATTCAAATGTTACCCTTGTACAGGTCTTCTGTAATCATTCAATTAAGCACTGTGGTCTATCCCTTAATGTTTGCAATTTTTATAGTAAGTTTTAATACATTAAGTAGTATACTGTATGTTTATATATGTGTGCATCATTTTCCACCTCAAGCAAAATGAAAGTCCTATGAAGTCATCAATCTTACTGTTTTTGTTCACTACAGTAAGAACACTATGCAGAACTTTTAAAATGATCATTGATGGCTGACCTATTCATTTATAAAGATATGAATTCTGGCTATGAAGATATATCTTGAATTAGAATGAAGATCTTCTTGATAATGTCCATAAATATTCTAAAAAGCATTATTAAAAAAAAAAAAAGCTCAAGGCACTGAAGAACAATCAAGGCAGACTGGACTTAAAATGCCAAGATCCCAGATGTGGAATCTCATGCTGATATGAGCCCTTTATTTTCTTCCACTTTTTACTTCAGGAAAATTTGCCATTTTGTTAACAGAAAAGAGATTCCAGCCAAATAGCCGAAGTCCGCTTGTAGCTGTTTCACCGAGATGAAGAGAAAAATGGTGAAGTGCAGAGATGCCACAGCAGTGGGAATTGGAAGGTCAAGATCCCAGAGATGAAAGAATTAAAGAAATGTGAGGTCAACGTCATGAGTACAGTTTCCCTTCACGTGTTTCCAGTTCTAAGTTTCCAGTACATGAGTAGATGAGGTACTGAGAATCATAATGGACTTAGTACTTTAACACTGGGTACTAATGAGGTAAGAAGCAAATTCTTCAGTAACTTGATGACATAGAGAACTGGACTAGAATTTGGGGTGAAAGAGATCTGATACAAACCCCAGGCCCTCAATTGAGATACCAACTCTAATGGAGACAACGAATAGAAAAGACATTACAATGTTTGAAAATAAGCTTCACAAGGGTCTCTGCCTATAAAATATCTACTTGCCAGTATAAAGTTAAATCATTTAAAAAAATAAAGATCTTCCAGCATCTTTACATTTTACATCAATAGAGTTTGATATTTAATCAAAGATTAATTGCTTGGAAAGAAGATCAACTGAAAAAAAAAATAAAAGAGATAACCAGTCAATGGCAGTAAGCCTGTAAGTGATCCAGACTTATCTCCTGATAAGTCCTCTTTGAGAACAAATTTGAGAGAACTAAAAGCCAATTTAAAAGAACCCACAATCACAATAAGAAATATTAGTAATGCTCATACCTCATAAACCACCCTTCCTCTAAATCACTAATGATACGGATTTTTAAAAACACAATTAATAAGCTAGAAGTAATTGAGATTTTAGTAACAATATACTGAATCCTAGCAGAATACATAATCAGGATTTGTTTTGTTTTATTTTGTTTTTTGGTACCAGGGATTGAACTCAGGACCTTGGGCTTGTGAAGCAGCAGCGCCACTGAGCTAAATCCCCGGCCCCATATATTCAGGTTTATATGAACAATTTCCACAATACACTATATGTTAAGACAAAGTTTTAAGAAATTATATCAATCTTACATGAAACTCTTCCAGAAAATAGTAGTAGTGGAAATATTTCCTACCTAAATGTATTCAGGCAACACAACTGTCATGACAAAACCTGAAGAAAACTATACAAAATATAAAATTTACAGGCTAAACTTCTTACTTTTTCTTGAGTACAAATACAAAAATCCTAAACAAAATATTAGCATGTGAAATCTATTGTTATGTTAAAAAGATAATGCAATGTAGTTAAATTGGTTTATTTTAGGAGTATGAGGGCTAGTGTTTAAAAATTCATCAATGTAGTGTGAATGAAAGTATGTGATAAGTGACAGAATCATCACCACCATCTTAGTCATTGTGATCCTCTTAACCTCTCAAGATGCTAATGAAGCTAACTTCCTTAATCCATAGAGAGCTTCTTCAACAGATCTACCGGAAACATTACATAGTGGTGACACATTGAAAGCTTTCTCCCTGAAGCCAGGAAGTAGGAAAGGATGTTTTCTATCATTGTCACTATTTATACTGTCCTGCAGAGAGTAATTGGGACAATAAGGAAAAAATGACAGATATAAGAATTGGAAAGAAAAAACGATTCATTGTTCTCAGATGATATGATTGTCCATATAAACCATTCAAAAGATTTGAAAATAGTCTATTAAAAATGATAAGTGATTTCAGCCAAGTGGCTTAATGCAAGATCAGTATGCAAAATAAATTATATTTCTATATAATGACTGAACATAATATCAGAAAACATCAAATACCTAGTAATAAAGCTAATTAAAAATCTACAAGATCATTCTAAAGAAACTTCATGATTTTTTGCTGTTGTGGACATGTCAAAAAACTTTCACTTGTTTTTAGTCAGCATGTCATGCTAGAAAGAACACAGACTGGCCTCTCATTAATAGAAGTCAGTATGAAACAGTATTTTCCACATTGAAGTTCATTATGAACATATCTTGTTTAGTGTGGAAAGAAGGCTTCAGTTCACTTATCTCTTCAAGAATCAAGTAAACCAAATTTAATTTGGAAGAGCATCAGAAAAAAATTCACAATGCCAAGTCAACCAATGATTTTTGAATGTGTGATATGTGTGTTTAAAAGTGTATAGCTATTTTTAATATAGATAGAATCTTTTTACTAAGTAGAAATAAAAATAAGTTTCTCTCAAGGATAAATAATTGCTGTTATAAAGGAATTTCAGGAAAAAAACCAGTAGAATTCCTTTGAGTATTTGAGGCTTGAGAAAAAAGGGGTATGAAGTAGCTGTACATTTTTAAATTTTATTTTCTGTGGATCGAATTAAAAATATTAACCCCAATATTTCTAGAATATCTGATTAGCAGTCTGTTTCAAAAATTGTTTTCCTATCCACAGAATAAAGTGGACTTTTTAAAGTTTTCCTTTTGATTATGCTATAACCATAATTAAAAAATAACTCAGATGTTAACAGTAGAAGTTTGTCAATCACAACTTGTTGATATACTTAATTAACAACTCAGTGCTGCAAGAAAATTTGGTGTCTTTTAGTCAATTATGTCTGATAGAAAAAAAGGGGAAATATATAAAATAGATTTTGTCTTCTGATTGAATTTTGAAAAATACTAGACTACTGAATGTCAAAATTGTCACTAATGTGTCACATATGCATACACATAACTGGAAAAATACATTTAACTCTTGCAGTTGTTTGCCAGAAGTAGGTTCCAAGACTACCAGTGGATGCCCAAAGCTGTGACTACTACCAAGCACTGTTTGATATGTCTGTTTTTTTCCTGTTACATCCCTAGGATAAAGTTGAATTTCTAAATTGAACATCATAAGAGATTAAAAATAATAACAATAAAGAAAGAATTATAGCAATATAATGTAAGGAAATTGCCAGCATCAGTATCACTACTTTTGAACTCCAATTTTAAAAGTTAAATAAGGGTGGGCCGGGGATTTAGCTCAGTGGCACCATGCCTGCCTTGAAGAGCAAGGTCCTGAGTTTGATCCCAGGTACCAAAAAATTTTTTTAAAGTAAAATAAAGGTTACTTAAACAGAGCATTTTGATACTTCAACATTGATCATATAACTGAGATAGCTACTAAGTGGCTGGTGGGCATGTAGTGTATGCAGAGTGGACAAAATGATGCTCCAGCAGGACAAAGAATCCTGATGGTGTGAGATTTCATCATGCTGCTCAGGACTGTGGCCAATTTAAAACTTATAAGCTGTTTATTTCTAGGTGTCCTCATTTATCATTTTCAGACTGTGGATAAGGACTGTATTTCTTCAGTATTAAATTCATGACATACAAAGAAGAACTGAGGGATTGTTCTATCTTAAAATAGACTGAGGGAAAATGACAACTAACGGCAACCTGTGATCTTCAATTGAATCTCAGATGGAGTATAGAACATTAATGGGAAAAACTGGCAAACTTCAATCAGGTCAATTAGACAACTATATCGTATCAATGTTGACTCCCTGAATATGGCTACTATGCTGTAGTTAAAGAGTACATTAACCTTTGGAGAATCTGGTCAAAGGGTAGAAGGTTCTCTTGTAATCATTGCATGACAACCTTTACACACTTCACAAGCTTGTATGGCAAATAAAGATGTTAGGAAACTAGGAGCACTGCTGTCTCAAATGTTACTTGGTAAAAAATGGACTATAACAATGTCACTAGGATGAAGACCTCAGAAACTGGTTTAGCTCCAAAATAATGCACTGAAAATATTTTAAGAGCAATATTGGTTTGTTGTAGTTGGTACTTACTTCATCGAAGGTAAAATCATTTAAATCTATTTCTTCATATTCTTCTTCAGATTCTTCATTCTTCATAGATTCTAGGGCTATTGTCAGTTTCTTTCGCAAAATAAATCCCTTCCAAACTGCCTAAACAAAAATTTAAACTATGTTATACAGGGTTATAGATCAAACCTCATAACAGATTCTCTGTGTTATCCCATTAGGAAGATAAAACATCTTAGAACTTAGTTTAATGGCTCAATAATCTGTTTTTTGAACTTTATGTGACACTTAAAACTGCAAGATAAATTAAACAACTGCATATGTCTGAATCTCAGGAGACTTTCTTTGTGGTAAGCAGAAAAGAATCTTTAAAACTCCCTCAACTGCACATGTAGGTCAACCAATCAATTATCTGACAGTTCCTCCAAGGACCCATTCTACACGAAGAAGAAAGAGATACAAAGAAAAACCAATTTTGCTAATTTTACAATGATTACATATAAAATAAGCTAAACCACATTTAGGAAAATGTTAACATACACAAATGTCTATATTAGAGAGGAGGTACCAAGGCCTGTAAGAACTAATTAATTTCATTTAAAAATAAACTCAGCACAATATAAAAAAAACTAAAAACACTTACATTCTTTAATAACTGTAGATTTTGGAAACTTTCTGAACTACATATACAAGCAAAATCCAGCTTAAAAATATATAGATAGGGAGTTTTAGGATATTTTAAGTGTAAAAATCAAGGGAGAAATAAGTATACTTTGCATGTTCTTACTTATCAATGAAAAATAAATATAAACACATAAATTACATACACACATCTCAGAGTATATATGATTGCTTAAAATTAAAACTAAAATATAAATTGTAAAATTAGTTTTAAAGTATTGACATATAAAAGCAGAAAAGAGATTTATAGCAATAGCATTAGAACCTTGAATTCTCTGAACATTCCTTGCTTGGGTTTGACTTTGGAACCAGGCACATACTGAAGATAATTACGAAAGTTAAGTATTTAATAAAAGGAAGTACTTATATTTAAGAAATGTTTTGAGCTATGGGAATAGCCACAGAAGTTATTTAACATGATTTTAAAATAGGTTTATTTAACTATAACCTAATGAAATATACTTGAAAGACATACTTGACTGTAAAAGATATCTTACAACAGTTTTCAGTAATCATATTGTTAACAATGATATTGGTGTTATTGTACATATGATAATACCAATAATACATAATATAATACATGATAATATGTAATATATGATTATGTATATAATATGAGTATATATATGTGTGTGTGTATGAGTGACAAGAGAAATCACCCACAACCTCTCTGCAGCAAATGGCTTCGTAAAGCAAACCATAACCTCAGCAAGAATCTGGGAAGCTAAATCACAATCTTGGCAGCAATTAGCCAAGAATAATCTACACTTGGTGAAAGATTGCAAGCCTTACTGTTTTTGCCCCTATTTAGGACCAATCAGAGAACGCTAAACCTACTTCCAAAACCGATAACATAACAGGCTCGACTACTATTCCTATCTACCTTTCCCATATCAACAAATAATCAGAGCATACCTGAAATACCTGGAGGCCCTCTCTTTCCCACCCCTCCTTAGTCTTTAAGTCTGTGTCCTTCCGCATAACACACTCTGAATAAATAGTCACTTTTGTCTCACTTGTGAGGTCTTTATCTCCACATTATGCATATGCTTATCTACCCACAAACCAACATTGCCACCCTCCTGAGAAACAGAATGAGAGGAGAAAAAGAATAATTATATTAATGTCATTAGGAACCCAGACTTTGGAAAGATGAAAATAGATGAAACATAAAATCAAATGAATGAAATCCTATAGCCTTAAATAGAATTGTAAAATACCAGTATGAACCCAATGTATATTTTGACTTAAAATATATATTTTCAAGCTTAATGTGACCAAAAAAAACCCCACAAAAAATAACAACAGCAACAAAAACAAAGACCATACCAGCAACAATTAAGTAGTCCTAAAATCTATATGGGGTTTTTATATAACATTTTCGCTAAAGGAATCAAGGATCTCTGGAAAAATATTGATTCTAGGCCTAGGGTAAAATGTATTCTAAATGAGCTTGAAACTTGTGTTACATTAGAAAGTAGAGAAAGATAAATTTGTACCAAAAAAGGTAACTTATGGCAACAACCATTGGCCAAATGAAGGACAATTTGAGCATCACAAAGAATAAGTTCAATGGAAATAAACACATAATATATATTTTAAAATTTACTTATTATACTATACATTGTGGTGCCCTATAGAGAATGATACAAAACTATTAATTTAAAAATTGATAAATAAAAATAAAGTATGTATTTAAGCTGCTTTTCTAGTATGAACCATACCTCTGAGTCTCTAAATGATTAACTAGACAAAATCTCTCTGATTTAGTTAATAAATGAATGATTAAGGGCAGGGGATTCAGCTGAGTGGTTCCGTCTCCTGGCTCGCAAGTGCAAGGTCCCAAGTTCGATCCCCAGTACCAATAAATAAATAAATAAATAAATAAATAAATAAATAATAGATATAAAGCAACACCATTTTACAAACCATTAATAAAATAATTCACCTAGGCAATGTTCATTAATGGACCCTAATATTCCTGAAAGAGAGGAAACCAGATATTATATGCCTGGTTTTTGTAATATACACCATCATCTATGAAGTATCTTCACTAAGAAAAGCAAATCTGAATCAGACAAAATGTTAAATCTTCCTGTCAAATTACAGAATACAAAAGAAGAAATATGTTAAATACTGCCATGGACATACATTTGGCAAAATTCAAGAAGTAGAAATCTGTACAAGATGAATGACTAGGGTTTCTTCAATAAATAAGCTGCAAGGCAGAGAAGAGCTTGCTGTACATTAAAACATATAAATAACATAATCCTAAAATTTAAAAAGCTTATCCTTTGTATTTTGATTTTAAAAATCTATAAACAAATATATATACAATAGTAGAGGGAATTTAAATAGTGATATATTTGGGGTAATTGCAAAATTATTGTCAGTTTTTATTCTGATATTGTATTTATATATAAAACAGACATAAGTCAAGAATAGAAATTCATACTTAAATAATTATGAAAAAATGCTTTATTTGGCATAATGTATGGAAGAAGAGGGAGACGTATGTTGGGAATTAAAAGAATCAATATCGGCAGCAGTTCAACAATTAACACAATCACGTGAAATCAGAAACCAACATTTACCGCTTAAAATCAGGTGGTCTGCCAGGTTGTTTCATTAAGTTACCATTCAGAATTTCCAATTATTATGGCTATGACCACTATTTTTGATGGAAACACAAAGGAATAGTATTCTGTCATGTTGTTCATCATATACAAATCAGGTAAATAGGTAGCATGGATTTTCAAATTTATTGAATGTCTATTATATGCCATATATAAATGATTGAACAATGACTCAAACACAGAAAATCTCTTTCCATGGAATCTCCATTCTAATGTAGGGTGGAGTCTAAAAGTAAATCCAATAAATAAGGAAAACATATTGTACCCTAGGCAAATGCTATGGACAAAAACAATGCAAAGATCATAAGTTTAAGGTTCTACACTACTCAGACAAACTGGGAGCAGTGCTAAATCTGTTACTGCTGCCAGCATTCTCAGGTGTGTGTTCCTGGGCAGGTCTTGGAAGATGCCAATACAGGCAGATATACAGTGCTCCACAGTGCCAGTGCCCTATCAAGAGCTACAGCATTTTCATAGTGGTGAAGCTAGTCTCCAAGCACACTCATCATGATTAGCCTCCTTTCTCTGACACAGCCTAGCGGAGATGTTCTTTTCCTTCCAAGATAATTACTTGAGTTTTTAATGTACCCATCCTCACTCCCAAAACTATGAGAAACTCAGGTTTCGAGTAATAGGTGTAGTAACTTACCTTATTTTCTCAGTGGGAATGGTGCTGTAAAAAAGCTAGTTCTCTATAACTTGACTCTATCCATCCAACATGTTTGAGGTGAAAATTCAATTTTTGCTCTCAAACCCGAGACACACACTTCTCAAGCATTTTCTGTGTTCTACTACTTATATCCCCAATCTGACTTTTTCTACATGGAAAAAAACCTTATTTCAATTAAACCACGCCATCTATCCCAACAGGCTCTTCTTTAGCTCCCTCCAAGATAACCTCATCACAGAAGAATTAAATTAGGACACTGTCACTCCCTAAGAAAAATAACAATTTATTTTGCTCTACACATGCATTAGGCCTCAAATTTCATTCAAAGAGGTAGAGATTTCCTTTCCAGGAAAATATGTGCTATGTCTGAGAATCCCAGACAGACTGTATTTCCTAGTCTATTTATTGCTTAAACTATGTTTCTACTTTTCACTGGTACATGTTTCCTCCTATTCATCTTATGGATTTCTGGCTCAAATTATGATGTTATCAACACTTTAAAAACAAGCTCAAGATCATACATAACATGACAAAGATAATAATCAAATATAACTGCTACATAGATTTAATTAGAAGTTTTATATAGTGATTAGCACATGACTATCACATAATGGGCATTTATTAATATTATTACCTTGATCCTTTACTTCTAACAATTGTATTTACACAGTTACTTAGTTCATCAGTAAGAAAGTCATATACTAAACACTGTATAAAGTTCAAAAATAGTTGATTAAATTCCAATCATTTTTGCCTTTAAAAATTGAATTACGAGGCAGACTTGGTGTTACCTTCCTGTAATCTCAGCTACTTGGGAAGCTGAGGGAGAAGGATCTTACGTTTGACCTGAGCTCAGACCCTGTCTCAAAATAAAGAATAACTTTTAGAAAGGGCTCGGGATGTAGCTCAGTGTAAAGGCCCTGACTGAAAAGAAATCACAGTGCAGATAATATTCCTTTGTTTGGTAACTTAATATGAACAATTTCTAACTTCTCAAGAGACTTCAAGATTCTCCTAATACGAGGAGCAAAGGATATTGGTACAGAGAAGAACTTGAACAATATTAAATGATAGAAACCCACAAGGGGAATATTTTTGTGAAACGAGGAGCAAATTTGAAAGCATTGTTTAAGAAAGTAGCTTTCTTTTTAACTTTCTTTGGAGAATGTCACCAACTCTTTGTCCTCTTGATTTTTTTTTTCCCCCTCATAAGGCAGAAAGGTTATTACAGACTATTTTTTTACCCCTTTCATTTTGAAATTCAGTAAAAACATTTTTAAAATTATTCAATATTCAATATAATATAACAGATAAAGAATAAAAATAGCCTTCTCCTTTTAGATTCCCTTACTGGGGTGTTTTTTCTCTTGGGTACTTGCTTCCTCTTGGAATGTGGTCTCCCTAACATGTCTAACACAGTAGAAAGGCAGAAGACCCTGACCCTTCACATCCCTTTCTCCCTGACTGTCCTGCCAAGATTCTAAGAACTAAGGAGACATATTTTATTTCCCTGGATTCTTTTTTCTAACATTAGCTTTCTCATCTACCCCTCAGTTTTTTACCATTAGAATTATGAGTTAACAAGATTAGGTATGGAGTAGAAAGAACAACCTTTAGGCCTTCAGTAACATAAGCCACTAGATCGATGCCCCATGGCTCCCAGTGGGTCTAATCCAAGTCACCCGTGGGGCCAGAACTTCTGCAAAGGCTATAATGTGTGTTTTTCTCATGTGACACCTACATATAATTCCCTCTTGACTCTGTAAGGTAAAGTATTCATGTTCCAGCCATCTTTATGCCATTTATTGGAATAACAGTAACATAAACGTGTTGGTAATATTCAGATTATTCTCCTTATTTATTTGGCTTGAAAGGCATAATTTTTCCCAGTAATCCATCTGTAATTAATTCATCTCTCTTATACATTCAATTTCCATCCAGACAAGTCTTCCTCTATTGGATACATCTGACATGACATCGTTTTCTTTTCTAGCTACCACCAGGTTCCACCCTCCAGTACATATTATACACTTATTCCTTGTTAAAAATCTATCACCCATCTCTGATTATGTTTCTCCTATATTCCTTGAACATTCTAGAACTTTTGGTAGACTCATTACAGTGATCTATTATTGTTCCAGTAGCACAAAATCCCTTTCTTTTTGCTTTCATTCTCCTTTATGTCTGGCCTGGAATTCCACCCTTTTACATATTTATACTGATGCTGTAACAAATAGATCCAAGCAAGTATAATAACTCAAAAGTGGGGTTTTGATCATATAACCAACACTGAGAGGGTGAACAAGCCCTTGGGACAGCACTTTAACATGAAGTGAGTCAAATATCCAGGCTTCAAAGATTCTTCAGTTTCAACAAATTCCAAGAAAGCTCCTGGGTCTGTCCATATTTCAAGCACAGAAAAGAAAAATAATATGGAATGTCTTATGGGAGGCTTTACGGGGCAGATATGGAGGTGATGCACACATCTTTATTTGTATTCTAATCACCAGAACTTAGAAAGGGCCACAACACACGGCAAGGGAAGATGGGACATCTAACCTGCCTGTGTCAGGGAGAATGTGAATTCTGGTGAGCAGAGAGCACTGTTCAGTACCTCTTTCATGAAATCTTCATTTTAGTTTTTGTAAAGCCAATGCTCCTTCATCGACATCATTCTCTGCCCCCAGGGATGTTTAGATATTCTAAAATTTATATCTTATGATGAGTTATGATTCCTCTTACAGACACTAAGATCCTCAACCAAAGGAGATCTAATAAAGATATCTGTCACCAAACTGACAGCTTCATAAAGTAATGAACTCCTCTTTATTAAGAGGAGTGAAGCAAAAGTTTAATAACCATTTACTATTACTGGTGAAAAATGTACTGCTCATCCAATGATAACAGGAAGAATTTGGACTGTTTGATGTTTACATTTTTTATGCAGGAGAACAATATTTTGAGATAGTAACTGAAGTTTCTTTCTCTTATAGCTTTCTTAAATCAGGCATCTCCCCTCATTCTTACCACTGTGGTATCAGCCTTTGTCTGTATACTGCTCTCAGGAAGAGTACAATAAAAAGTAAACCAAAATACTAGATATATTCACTAGAACCATAGCAAAGGTAATTGTCATAAAAACTACGGCCTTACTAGTGAAAGACAGGAACGTGAGAGAAAAAGATATCTTTTATTCAATATTAACGTTATCCTTCCCTTTTTTGTGCCAAGTACCTGGAAGGCATTCCTGACTCCTGCCTATCTTTCATACAACACATCCTCATAACTAACATTATCAGTCTCTATTTCTACAGTATCTATACATAACTTCACATTAACTCAATTTATAGCCTGGAATATGATACTCCGATCACCTGAACTTCCCACATCCTAGACCAAGCCATGATTTTCTCTCAATACTGTGCTAACCCCGACTAATTTTTCTGCCACCGCTCCTGCAATATATTTGCAATATAAAATGAACTTGAGCATGTCAGCCCACTTTTCAAACTCCTCCCATGTCTTCCCTTATTATTAGGAGGAAAAGTCAAATTCTTCACAATGACCTATGACTTCTAAATCCTATCTGTCTCCCCTTTATCACTCTCCAGTCCCACTGGCCTCTTTCTGCTTTTTTCTGTGCCTTGAACACAGTGGAGTGCTCCTACATCAGGGCTTTGAAGCTGATATACCCTTATCTGCAATATTCTTCTTCAGATATCCAGTGCCTTAGAATCTCACACCAGTGTCAACTTTTCTGGTCTCCCATATCTATTCTATCTAAAATTAAAAACTTCCTTTTGATATCCTCCTCCTGCTTTATATTTCTCTTTGATTTTTGTCATTAACAAATGGACTAACTGCACATTCCAACAGGATATAAGCTAGCATGATTTTCACATGGAGAAATGGTTGTTGAATGAATGAAGGAAAGGCTGATTTTCTGTTTGGTTACTATTATTCAACTGAAGCACAGTATTGTGAATTTCCACAGACTTGACTTTATGTAAGCATTTAGTTTGTTTGGCTCTTTCATCAGGATAAAAACTCCAAATGGTGAAGCATTTTTGTAGTTTTGTTTATGGTTTTATTTCTTAAGCGTAGAATAGTGTCTGAAAAATCTAAAAAATGAAAAAAACCTGATAAGTGAATAAGTGAATGCAATCAAGTTAATATTCACTTCAAAATCTGGTGAGATTGAGTTAAATATGTTCAAATCTTGATTTCTACATTTTTTAATGAAATGGGTATTTTAAGAGCTTTAATATTTTGGTAAATTTTTGAAAACATACTTCTAGAAGTAGGTATTATGTAGGCCAAATGAGACTGCTTTGGTTCATCAAATTTTAGCCAAATTGACAAATGACATAGTTGAGAAGTTTTAAATATTATTGTGTGCTTCAGCTTGACCCACAGTCATAAAACATCCTGTTTCAGACATAAAGACTGTTCCTTCCATCTATATACTAAGCAGAACCAAAGCCAATCTACGTCTGACATGCAGCCTACATGCCATGTGAGTATAAAATAAATCCATGTAATTGTAAACCACTAAGATTTGGGGATGGATTTTTGTGTATAATAACCCAGAGAAAGATGATGAATATGTATTTCATGATTAACCATGTTACCAAAAGATTAAAATTAACCTGAATAAGAACAGCAGCCTTCTCCTTCTGTTTGTCGATATTCATAATCTTTTTCCTTTTTTCTTTCATTAGAATAGTCTGATTATTGAAGGAATTTGGCAGGGGTTCTGTTGTAACAGTATGTATCCTTGTAAAGAAATTAATCTGTCTGCGTACAACGTAACCACGCCAGTATGCCTGGATCACCAGAGCTGCCATCCTATAAAAGGGAAGAAAGAAAATATTTTTAGTATGTGTGAACACACAATTGTAGATAAGAGACTCTTGTGAGCTATAAACATGAGTCACACAAAGTGTTCGTTAAAAACAAGAGCCCTTCCTTTGTTTAACTACAGTCATAGAATTAAAAATTGCAACCACCTTCAAATCTGACTGTGAGAACAGGCCAGTAGTTCAGAGAAAGGTCTGGGTGAAAGGGAGTTTTTTTTATTCAAAGGGGAGATAGGGTGGAAATTTTCTATGATGCTGAGGACATCAGTAAGAAGTGGTGATGATGCAGAAAACAGGAGACAAATGTAGGATCCAATTGCAGCTTGGCAAAGATGGGTGAGATTCTTCACACTATGGGGCAAGAGCTTTGGCAAGGAAGAGAAGGGAGACCTTCCACTGGCAAAACCCTCTCAGGTTCTTAATAGTTTCTCTTTTCTCCCCACCCACCACCAAATACTTAAAGTTCACTCCTATAAGCCCAGTAGTAAAATCTAACATCTCACACTCACCCCTATTTGCCAATTTCAGGCAATGAATCGATGAATACCGTGTGTTTTCCATATCTCAGTAAGCTGCACAGCAATAGCAAATGTGAATAAAAATGAATACTAATTGTGAGTTCACAGTAGGTTTAATCATTTAATTCTTCTTAATTGGAATTTTTTTCCTTTCCCAAGCATATTATTACAAGAATATTATCAATGTACTGATATAGTTTAAGTGCTAAATATGTTGTCTTGGTAACTCCTCAAATGCCTCAGTTTAAATGGAAAGGTACACAGAAAAGAGGCTCTGTTCTCCAATGTTCCCTTGAAATAGTTTTCAATAATTTTATAATTATCAAACCTAGTGGACTTTTTTCCATTCTTATACATTCTTATATTTAGTTTAAAACAAAATGGAAGGGGCTGGGGATTTACCTCAGTGGTTCCGCCGCCTGCCTCGCAAGCGCAAGGACCGGAGTTCAATCCCCAGTACCAAAATATAAATAAATAAATAAATAAATAAATAAATAAATAAATAAATAAATAAAACAGAATGGAATTAGGCAATAAACTCTATCATACATGACCATAAAAATTTTCTCACAGCAATGTACTTGTCGGAAGCTAAAAAGAAATGATGTTATTATTTTCTATAGTTAACTTTATAATTGTCATTAATTATATCATCATCAACACCATTTTACCTACAGCCAGTCAAAACTTTTAATCTATGTAATAGGAATACAAAATTGAAGTTGATGGTTAAAACTTCTGGTCCAAGATAAACTACTTGTACTTGTGGTACTTGGAAGAAACATTCACATTCCAACAAATCATTTCCTCCTACTGGGATGAACAGAACTTTGTAAATTCACATTTGGTCATGCAATTATCCATTCATTCCTCATCTTTCCAAAAAAAAGAGATGAGGTACTATTTAGTATATAAATGCTCTATGAGGTACTTGGGGTGACAAAGGGAAAAGAAGAGCCAGAAAAAAAACATTTGCAATGTTTAAATGTACAAAGTTTAGTGAAAAATGAAAGGCTTATAAGAAAACACATTGAACCTAACATCTTGTATTTCTCTACAGTACATGTAAGTTTCACTGACTATAATGTGAATTTCTTCTAAACCCATCAATTTTATGGACACCTTAGCCTAATATCAAACTCTATCCAAGAACACCAAGAGGTAAATGAGGAATATTGCCTTCAGTGATATACACAGGAACTGGTGTTTAAAACCAAGGAAAGAAGCTGACTTGAGGTTTTCCTAAATGCAGCATATTCTCTATGTTGGAAAAATGAGCTCTATCATCATCTCTATTTTTTTTTCTAGCAGAAATAAAAATGTGAAAAACAATGTCCCTAGCACAAGAGCATCTATAAATTTTGCTTAGGAAACTTCAATAAAGTGACAATGAATCTTCCTGAATCTCCAAATAACAAGGTTTAGCGAGTACGCATTTCCTTTATTTTTTAGGTCTTTCACAGATGTATATCAAAGTATTTAACATAACTTTCAGAAAAGAAATCACTTAACACTGACAATGCCTGAAAAAAATCAAGACCAAGAAAATCAGGATTTCTGCCTTATTTGGTACCAGACAGACTGAATAGGACAATTTTTCTCTTGTTGGCTTGACACTGAGGTCACAGACACACAACAAAGAACAAGTTAATAGGCCAAAGTAAAAACCAATCTTTGCTGGTTCAATAAACAAAGCCAGAGACTCGCTTTCATACAAGTGCTTAACACTCGTGAGGTGGATTATGTGTCTAATCACAGGGAATATTGCCCTACCTTACAAAGCTGTTACGCTAAAGAAAATTATAGGACATACATTCAAATAGTGGCCCACATGCTTATTAAGTGTTTGCTAGATCAATGAGAAAATATTGAGCACATGCAAAGATATATTTTTTAAAAATGAAATTAACTAATTATTTGGAATCTCTCACTTTCTATTTTACAATGTAATATTTCATTTCCTTAAAAACATCTTAGTTATTTAAAAATTAGAGAGCAGAAAAATAATTTCTCATTACTCATTATAAATTAAATAATACTAGAAATTATATCTGAACAACTCAACATACAACCAAATTAATATACATGTGATTTAGTAATTTGTGTACATCACGAAAACAGTTAAGGGAGTTAGCATAAAACATTTCTCTAGTATAAGACATTTCAGTGATTTAAATCTTTATCAAATTATTATTTGGTACCATTGACTAAGATAATCCATCGAAAATAGTAGACATAACATATGTAAGGGAAAAATGATTGCCATAGCTTACATTTCTTCACTGTGGTCGATATTTTGACAATTCCTCAGCAGAGAATTTGTCATTGTTGTTTCCACCAATGGGATACTTTTGGTGGTAATACTGCATGTCTTACTGTCTTCTCTCTTCTGGAATACTAATTTTTCCTGATTTATTTCTTCCAAACCTTTACATACAGAGGGGTAGCTCAATGGGGAATGACTAAAACCAGAGTCCATCGATTTCCCAGAAATATTTGATGAGTCAGAATTAAGTTCCTTTGCACAAGAACGGAAGCCCCCATTTTTCACTGTGCTGTGATACAGAGGGGCCAAACGATTTTGCTGAGTGTCGGATTCATCTCTCTTGGTGATACGTACATCCCCACGTTCATGTGCATGTCTGTATTCATTACTAAGTGTCATCAGTTTCTTAAAATAATGATAGAAGTTTTCTGCTGTATCCAAGGTGAAAACATCCCTGAACAAATAAATGATCAGAACATTTCACAATAAGAATTAGATCAGCATATACAATTTTCAAGATAAATTTTGCTTTATTCCAAAAATGAACATTAAACTTTACAACAACATTCATTATAAATTATTTTTACTTATTTATACAAAAATGTTCTCATATTGAACAAAATGTGAAAGTATTTAGTTAATTTAGATCTCTTAGTCCAGACAAAATGTCTAGGAGTTTTAGAACAATTTTTGTTCACAGTATTTTTGGTACTAGTAAATGAGAAAAATTCATTCTTTTACTACCATAGCATTAGACATCATGGCTGCCTAAATTTGGAAATGTTATTTATGAAGTAAAATTAAAAGTTTTTCTACATTGATTTTTTCCACTCAAAATATTTGTACTGGACTTTTAAATAAAGAATGTATATTATGGGAAAGTTTTTATTTCCATTTTTCTTTGGAAAAATATTTGACTGCAAAGAGAATTCAAACAGTTTAAGACACAAATGCTTGGGATTCTCTTAAACAATTGTTTCCTTTCTAACATGCAGATATATATATAACTGATCAGATTTTCATGATTACCATATTTGATGTTCCCAATAACAAGTGAAAATAAATTTGCAATTGTATGAGACATTCTTAACTACATTTTATTCATTTTCTTTTATTTCCAGTTTATTTTTAAATTTTCACTTATCTCATAAATTTATGGTTATATTTTATATATAGGCACAAATTGAATTATTTTTGTTCTGGAACAATGAAGTATTTATAAAGTATAAAAATATTTAATTCCAACAGACAAAAAGAAAGTTGTAATTCTTTCCTATAAGTATAAAGATAATTAGATAGTGATTATGTTCACAAAAGTAATCATTATACATTAATAGTCTTCCCTGATACATTTTTGATATTTTTCATTAAATACCTGTTGTTGGATAATGAAGCAGAAAAAGTTCAATGCAAATATGGGGATACCAAATGTTACTGATTAAGTGTTGAATGCAGTAGTATTTATGCATTAAGCACATAAAAATAGCCTATTTTCCAATATCAAAGCTAAAATGAAATTTAAATTGCAATAACAATGAATAGTCCAAATGTCTAAATGTTATGACTTATGCTAAGAAACTAAATTTCTAGTTTATGATTCTTTATGGCTGAGGAGTATAGTAGATAATATGAAATAGGAAGAAAAGGTCTAAAGGGGACAGGGAAGGGGAGTTGGAGTGGGGGGGGAGAAGAAGGGAAAAGAAAAAATATGAGAAAAGGAAAAAACAGAAACAAAGTCTTTGTAAATGGGGGGGGTGGAGGGGTTGAAGGGAGGGCAGGGCAATGGGGAAAACATAAGAACTCAGATATATCACGTACAGGTACAGCTTCCCAATGCCATCATATTGTATATATAAAATGAACCAATAAACTTAATGAATTAAAGAAACCTTAAATTTCAATATGAGAGATGTTAAGGGTCACTCATATACAAAACTGTACATTACTACACATATGCAAAGAAATACTAGTTTAGATTTTCACAAAGATGTATGTAAATAATCTTAATATTTTTTAGTTAAAAGGAAACATTTATATAAAAATTAAAATTATTTTTAAGTAGAGTTGTGGGATTTGTTTTTAGTATGAATAGATTATATTTAAAAATATTTAAACTGAAAAATAATTCAATAAGCCAAGCATGTATGAAAGTATAAGTAACAATAATGTAAGCATAAAATTTAGCAAATAAGTTTAGACATTAAAAAGCACATATTATTTTTCTAGTCATAATAGACAGACATAAGTGAAAAAATGTGAAAACTTTTTCCTTTTTTCTTTACATTTTCTGGAGAATACAAATTTAAAAATTGTTATAAAAAGGTCAGTTATAATTCATTAATAATTATATATTCAGAATTAAAGTTATATTTGATGATGACTACTCTCAGATTCCTTCCTCTGAACACATGCAAGTGGTAACTGCTTTCCTCCATTACAGTCCCATAATATCTTAAATGCAAATATAATACATGGTAACATAACATAATATATAATATGCACTATGTGTTGTAAAACTTGCCTTTTTCCAGTGTAAATTTATTATTTACCTAATTTTCATTTATACTAATCTGTAATTTTTTCAAGACAAATTCTTGCCCACAATAATTGTTGATATAAGTCCGAGTGCTTGATGACTAATAGAATGAATGTATGCCTGTTATGAAATTATCTCATGCATTCATTTATTTTATATACTATTTTAGAATTTATATATATCAAAACACATGTCAATGTATTTCTAAGAAGAAAAACATGAGGCCTACAAGATTTCCTTAGAGGCAGACTATTCCTCAAAGCATACTGTTTAAAAGCCAGCACATAATTACCGTGATAATCAAAATATCAAAGTATGCCAGGCAAATGCTGTATTATTGAGCTACACTCCCAGCCCAAATTATTTATTTTATTTTTTTGTGGAGGTACTGGGAATCAAACTCAGGTCCTTGCATTTCCAGGGCAGGTGACAGAACCGCTGAGCTAAATCCCCAGCCCCAACTTTATTTATTTTAAAAACAAGGGGAAGATAACAATCTTACCCTTTTCTGGTGATACTGTTTTCAGCTAGTAACTGAAATTCTCGAATCTGGGCCTGACACAGTATTAGGAACTGTCCTGACTCTTCAGGGGAGTGTTCCTCAGTGTGGATTTCTGAGGAAGAGCTTAGCATATCGCCATTGAGGATTCTTAGAGCTGGTAACATTTGAAGTAGAGAATGCCTATTGGAAACAGAAAAAAAAAGTTAATAATGTTGATAACGAGAGTTTATGTTTAAAATCAACCATATGTCTATCACATAAATAAGCACAGAATGCATATCTCAGAAAGACTGATTTTGCAGAGAAAATGAGAGTTATACTTGGGTAACAATAAAGGACATTCTGTCATGTACACAGCAAGTTTTAGAATTCTAGACATATATTTAATCATTTTCTCCTAAAATACAAATGGGATAATCAAATTTGGAGGCTAAGAATGGAATTTTAAATATACTAAAGCTGCAGTATGAAAAGAATTATATACTTTTAGGAAAAGGAAAATAACATTACTAAAAGTTATTTACATCAGAAATAAACATTTTATTATGTCTCTCGATAAAATATAATAAAAGTAGGACTAAAACAAAACAGGGAGGACATTATCCTGCTTTCCATGATCTGAAATGTCTAAAATTATATTTTGTCCTAAATTTTACTAAGAATTATAATAATTTTTGACATATTACCAAAAGCCTGTATCAATTTAAAAGACAAATGCTGCAAAACAAAAACATAAATAATAGCAAACAGGTCAGACAGCAAGAGCTTCCCATCAAACCCAATCATTAACAAATACTTGCCCAACCCAACTAGGACAGGGTACATTTTTTTAAAAAGGCCGCTGATGGTCACAGGGGCAAAATGGACTTTTTGAGCAAAAATTTAACCATTTCATTGAGGAAAACTACAAAGCTCTGATGACAGATACCAAAGAAGTACACAAATGCAGATATTCCACGTCCGTGGTTAAGAATACACGATGTTGTCAAGATGTCAGTTTTTCCTAAATTGACCTATAGATTCAACTCAATCTCAACAGAAATTTCAGCAAGGCATTTTGTGGATATTAACAAACTAATTCTAAAGTTTATATAGACCCACACCCGAATACCCACAGTAGCTAGCACAATATTGAAGAAAAAGAACAAAGAGGATTAGTACTACTCAGTTTCTTGATTAAGCATGAAGTTACATGAATCAAAACAGGGTGGTATTGGTGGGGAAAAAATGGATCAACAAAACAGAATAGACAGGCCAGAAATAGACTAACATAAACATAATGATATGACTATTTTTACAAAAAAAGTGAAAAAATAGTACAATGGAGCAAAGATGCTCTTTTCAATGAATGGTGCTGAAGTAACTGAACATCCACTCGAAAACAACATAAATTTAGGAAAACTTACATACTTAACAAAATACTAAATCAAAATGGATCACAGAAGTAAAGTGCAAAACTATAAAACTTTGGGCCGGGGATTTAGCTCAGTGGTTCCACAGCCTGCCTCGCAAGCACAAGGTCCTGAGTTCAATCTCCTGTACCAAAAAAAAAAAAAGAAAAGAAAAAAACTATAAAACTTTTAGGATAGAAAAAACTATATGACCTTAGGTATGATGACTTACATAATATTAAAAATTTCTACTCTGTGAAACATAAGGTCAAGCTATTGAGAAAATAAGCCATAGGCTAAGAGAAACACTCTGATAAAGGCCTGTAAAACACATGGGCTCATGTGTTTCACTGACTGTAACAAGCACATCGCTCTGGTGCACAGAATTAATAGTGGGGGAGGATGTGGCTGGGGGAGATGGGGCACGTGTGACTCTCGATTTGCTGCGAACCAATAACTGAGCTAAAAATAAATTGTATTAATTAAAGAAAGAGAAAGTAACAGTTCTTAAACACTAAACAAAGGATTATAAAGTAAGATTACTAACACAGCAAGGCTTAAATGGAGAACTCCATACAGAATCAGCATCAGTCCTTCTATCTATTCTGTTCAGGCTGGCAAACATATTGATTTATATAAATATAGTTGTAAAATAAAATTTTGATATTTTGTCTTTGTGAAGGATGTGACCAACGATGACCAAAATGCATAGAGTCAACCAAGTCACAAAGCATACCTGTGCATAGTTATAATTTTAATAGTCTTAGAAGTAACTAGATAATCATAAGAAATATATCTTCCTCAAGGAAAGCCAGAAGAACATCAGAGTTCTTCATTTATTGAGGGTAAAGATTGTTACCTCCCAACAGCCTCTTCATCTCCTTCCCAGGAAAAACCACTCTTTTTCCTCTTACCAGTATTTAAATAAGGAAATAGGGAGACCAATTCGATTTTGTTCTTCAAGGTAATTATAAGGTCCTTTACAATATTAAGCAATAGATAATTTTTATTGCTTTTCTCAAAAAAAATTTAGCAAGGTAAGATTTGAGTACAGTATATATATTTTGAACCTAGTTAGTAGACTTACAGCTACTGATGTTTGCCAAATCATAAACAACCACTTTACCCACAAGTGTAAACAGCATATATTGTGTTCCTGACTGCATTCATTTTAAGATATGATTCAAAAGCAGAATGTTATATTAAGATAGCAGTTATTCATCACAGATGCAAGAAGATAAACAGCGGTAATTACCACAGAAAAATATTAAATGTGACATGAAATCCCTGACCAGGCTCCTATCAAAGCAAGGAACAGTTAGCCTCTGAAATTGAAATTTTTAATAATCAAAATATAATGGAGAGATCAACTACACCTCTTCCACTACACTAAATTACTATATTGCTAATGAAGCTAAAATGTGTTTTGTCTCTTTCCAAGTACCCAGTCAAGTTTTCCAGATATGAGTGCAATTTCAAAATAATTGTTATTATTATAAAACTTTAGTATAAAATAATGATATTTTTGAGATGTGTTAATAAAAAGTTAGGAATGTGTTAAAGCATAAAAAAGACACTCTAATTCTATGAGTAACATTGTTTCTTTAGATCCAGGATCTTGAATTATAGAAGAGCAAATCTAAAGCTTCTGAAAACAGCCCTTGAGCAGAAAAACTGTTAGTTATAATTATTTGGGTACCAAGCAAGTTTCTGTCCCATGCCTTGGTCTCCAGAGTGAGAGAGAGAAAAGCAAAAGCAACGGGTGCCCATGACATGCTCTGGGCTTTGAAAAAAGTATATCTTCCAAAAAAAGAAACAAAGCTGATTTTTTGTTACGATTTGCGTCACTTATGAGTTTAGTAATTTGTTTTTTCTTGCTTCCCTAGAGTATGAACATTTCTGGTTAAAAAAAGAAAGTAATGAGCCATTGAACTACAAAACTCTTCCCCCAATAAGGTGTTCATAGAGTCAGAACGGTGGTGCAGAAGCAGTTACACTTATGAGCCCCTTTTTAGTAGCCATCTCTCAGGTCTCAACTTTGTTTGAAGTGTCCACCAAAGATTATAATCAGGCTGATAACTTGACAGCTGCAGGTCTTATTATCAGTGGTCTACCTTAGGCACTAAATCCCTTGAGACACGAATTCAAGGTTAGATTGCTTTTTGTGCCTCTGACACTACAAGGCAGTGTTTCTGAAATGATTGTCTTTGAACTACTGCATCAGCAGTACCTGAAGTGCTTTTCAAAATGTAGAGTCTCTGTGTATACCAAGGACTTCTGCTGATCAATTGGGAGATCTGTATTTTTAAAATATCACCTTTCTTGTTCAACTTTTAAGAATAAAAATCAGTGCATTCAGAACAAACAAAACTGCCTCATGCTGTACTAACATCAGTGATTACTCAGGTATAACTTGAACCTTAAAAACTTCAAAAATTCTGATTATTTGCAAATTGTTTGAAATTTCCAAGATAAAAGTACCAAAACTTCTAGCACAGCCAACAGTCAACTCTATTAGAAGACTATGTTAAATGAAATAAGAGGAATTGCTATTTTGGAATAGTTCTATTACAGAGATGTGATCACTGATTAATGTGGCCACTGATTTACATAAATGATGTGAAAATTCCTGGAACACTGAATTTGGTGATTATACACATGTTCAGAGAAATAATAACTTTTCATTAGAAATAATTTATGACAAAATAATTTTGACATTTTAACAAAATAATCCTAGAGCCAAAATGAGAATTTGTTCTATTAGATTGATAGACTAAGTATATTTTACCACAAGCGTATTTCCTTTGATAAAAGAATCAATTATGCACCCTATATCCAATATAATAAAAAGAAAAGGTATATAAAGCTAATACAGTATGTTAGGTTTGTTCTTTGTTGCTGTAGAAGGATGTATGTGGCAATTGTTAATATGAAAGACCAGACCCACAAGTCGTAAAAATGATGGTTTTGTTATAAAATGCTATATATATATATATATGTACCAAGGATCGAACTTGGGTCCTTGTGCAAAATGCCATATATTTTTGGAAATGAGTACTGAGACAGATACCATTAAGTGCAGAATTTTAGCTATAGAGAATAATTTTACTAAATGTGGTTGATGGGGCCTGAATTTCTACTTTGGTAATATATTGATGTTACTATACTTTTTAAAGTTCCAGAATGATTTATTTTAGTCAGAATATTTTGAAATTCTTTGGTTGTAAAATTTTGCTTGGATCTTCAGAACTGTAACAATGCTTTGATTCTAATAATTAATATTCACTAGGCATTACCATTTTACTGTAAAATTTTCTTTTCTTTCTTTAAGCAACAGTCTTGAGATCTGTGTAAGATAACAGCACATGAATTGGTTTTAAATTTAAAATGCAGACTTTTAAGAGTTTATGATGAATACATTAGAACATGCTGTAACAAGCTGATTAATGTTGAAAATGAAGTATAAGAATACTGAGAGATCTCAAGATTAGTTTTTCCAGCTGGGCTCCTCCTAGTCAAGGGCTGAATCAATATTTCATTTAGTGAAAACTTCCTGGTGAATATTCTGCCACTTAAGAAGTCTTCAATCATTAGTGAATGAAATAAATTCCCAAAGGAGATTCCAAACTGAGTCTGTGGATTAAGTTTTAAAAGGAGAATTTTTAGTACATCAATGTTATCCATGTTATCACTGGATGGACATGAAAGTAAGATGCCAAATGGGAAAATAGATAACTAATCCCTTTGTTGGTATCACAGGGCTACAGAAAGTTCATGGAAATATATGCC